ACTAGGGCCCCTTCACAACCTGTTTCAGTGCATTTAGAAAATATTCTGAAAGCTTATGTGTCCTGAGTTTTTTGAGGTATATTTTCAGTGGTAGGAGCTCATTGACATGTGAGTTTAACATATTTGTCGCAAATTGATTTCAATTGCTCTGTGCTATGTCATTTGTAAGGATTGTTGTTTAAATCATGACTTTAAGACATTTGGATTTCGGAGTAGGATCAGTTAAATTTGTGGTTCACTTCGTTTTCAGAAACTGTACTGATGCCCGTGATTCACCAGAGTGATAACAATTAGGACTTCAGAAAACGGTGTGTTGCAAAGGAGTTAACGTTTCTCTCAGGCTGTTCTCATCTCTCAAACTGTGGAATACTCCTAGCTAGTACAAGTTACTTCTCATGTGTCCTTAAACACGGATGAGTTTGTCCATCTGCCACATGTAAATTTTCAATATGTTCCAACAAATGCCAGTGCTGCCCCTGATACTGCTCTGTGGCTGAGGGAAATTTTTCATCCCTCCTATTAAAACTTTGTCTTTAACTTGCAGTCCTCCTGCATGACACCTATTTTGCCATCATTTTACTGCTGGAAACCCACTGTACACAGTAGTTCAAAATTACATAAATCTCTAGTTGTGGGGCAGAAGAAAATTAACTCGATGTTGCGCTGTCAGACCTAATTAGCCTCGCCTGATCCCCTTGCGCGGGAGGCGGTGGTGCCCAGGCAGGAGTATGTGCATGCTTGGTGGGGTGGGCAGGCTGGGGTGCAAATGGGGGCTCTTCCTGTCTGGGGGTACAGCTCTGCCACTGGGACATTTAAAACTCAACTCTTAGTGTGTGCTGTTGTCCAGATCACAAAGTGAAAAAGAAGGGAGGCAAGAAAAATGGAGGATCACAGCGACTGGCTGATCCCTGGGTGTAATTGTTGTAATTCATACAATGTGTGAAAATGATGTCCCGTACTGTATTCACCTGGAATAGGAACCATCTATTTCCTCCAAAGCCAAACCAAGCCACAGCAGTCCTCCTGCCCAGTAGTAACTCCGGAGTGCACCAGGAAGAAATTGTATCCTGGGTTCCTTACGCTCTTCGTACAATTTGAAAATAGTATTTCTAGGTGTTTTCACTGGCTTGTTGGTGACTGTTTCTTACATACTCTCCTGGTCTCAAAGTCACCCAGAATTTTGAGATCTAGCAAATAATATTCGGCACAGAAAAACAAGATCCTAACATTCCTGACTCTCATTTAAGAAGGCCCTTTGTACCAAAGCTTCCTTTTTGCCACTGACGCTGGTGTCAGAGTGCGCAGGAACATGACAGAGGAGTTAGTGAACCCCGCTGACGTCTGGCACCAAAAATAAAATGTTTTGTGTATGCAGCCAAAACATTGCTCATGTCAGGAAAGACTGTGTTGCGTACTTTGTGAAGTAAGCATGGTAATCTCTGCCTTGCTTCTGTGTATGTAGAATTATTGAACTGAAGTTTTGTTTCTTTCCTTTTCTGCAATATTTGGTGCTGAACCATGTACAGTGTGTGATTAATTGTGTACAGCTGGATGAGTTGAACTCTACTATTCCCCTTTGTTAGTTCTTAATATTTCAAAACATGTCCAATTTATGAAAAGCTGAAAAATAGCAGAATTTGTGTTATGCTGGAAGAGTGTATACATGGAGATGTTATTAAAAAGAAAATCAAAGATGAGTGAAAGGAAATAACAGTGAAGAGGCAGGTTTTGAAGATTCACCATGTGGGGAAAAAGGAATGAATAGGAAAAGAAAACCCTCAAAAACATGTCTGTTTTTAAACAAAACAAAACCAACTCAGATTTTTCATAGTCACAATCTTGGGATCTCCAAGTGCTCTACTTGTTTTTTTTTTTCCCTTTTTACTAATTGAAGGTCTTTTAACCTCTAGAGGCAGAGGTTTCTGTTTATAAACCAGTTGTCAGACATTTGATTGATAGTGGTGGTGTACTGTAGGTCTAATTACAATGGAGGTGGCCAACCAATCCCTTCACTTCTCGTGGACTCTACCTAATTCTGCATTACAGGCTTCATTGCTTGAAACAGGGAACATTATAGCAGGTGACACTCAGCACAGCCTGACAATGCTTGGGTTATTTTAAGAGAACAAATCTATCTGCGTATGATAACTGAAGACTGTGACATCAAGAAGAAAGCCCAAGAATAAAACACAGGTACCTCTTACTTCCTTTCCTTTTATTACTGGTACATGCACACATTTTTCTTAGATGTGGTTGTTTGTACATAAGAAAATGAAATCTTTCCTGTAATATACTACCCTCACAGAAGATACTATAGTGGAATAATGGATGTTGTCACTGGTTAAGTTGCAATCTGGTCAGAAGTGTTGAAATACTACTTTCAAATTGTATGAAGAATGTAAGGAGCGCAGGATACAATTTCTTCTTGGTGCACTCTGGAGTTACTACTGGACAGGAGGACTGCTTTGGCTTGGTTTGGCTTTGGAGGAAATAGATGGTTCCTATTCCAGGTGAATACAGTATGGGACATCATTTTCACACTTTTGACTGAAAAACATCTTACCAGAAAATTCAGTTTCTTCTGAAAGCAGATGGTTGTCCCAAATGAGGACCATTTTATTTCCTCTGTAAAATAAAGAAACAATGAATTGATATAAACTATAGCTTTTTGAAAAAGGCAAATAGCTTTGGTTGAAGTCATGTAGCTTAGATAAAGAAATTTTCATATTCCTTCTATGGCAGGAGGTTCCCCGTCTTCGATTCTATCCTCCTATAATCTGTTCCCTCTGTTTTAGTCATAGAATGGTTTGGGTTGGAAGGGACCTCAATGATCATCTAGTTCCACCCCCCCTGCCATGGACAGGGACACCCTCCACTACACCAGGTTGCTTAACACCTCATCCAACCTGGCCTTGAACACCTCCAGGGATGGGGATTTTAATGAACATAGGTTTATTTTACATTAAATAAGATTGGCCAGAGAAGGGATTCTGTTAAGCTGAATTGTTCCATTCTCGTCTTGTCTTTGAAGTTAGTATATTTGATTAAGGCTAAGTATTTTCTGTTACACCTCTCCTGTATGCTTCTAGAGCTGATGCTTCAGTGACATTTATTATGTTTTTATAAAGATCTCAGTTTCATTTTTCCTAGTTAGTCTTTTAAGACTCTGATTTAGCAAGTTACTGGAATCCATGTCTATTTGACACATTGTGAGACCAAGCAACTCCAATGACTTTGCTGTAACACTCAGTGACTGAAGATCTAAGTGAAATCCCACACTATGAATTCTTTGTGTCTTTTTTAAGTGTAGTGATTAGTACAACTGTCTGTAATCTGTTTCTTTCAAAACTTCAGTGTAATTGAAGTAGAATGATGATGATATTAAATCATAGAATCCTAGAATGGTTGGAGTTGGAAGGGACCTCTAAGATCATCTAGTTCCAACCCCCCTGCCATGGGCAGGGAAACCCTCCACTACACCAGGTTGCTCAAAGCCTCATCCAACCTGGCCTTGAACACTTCCGGGATGGGGCATCTATAACTTCTCTGGGCAACCTGTTCCAGTGCCTCACCACCCTCAGAGTGAAAAATTTCTTCCTTATATCTAATCTAAATCTCCCCTCTTTCAGTTTAAAGCCATTGCCTCTTGTCTTATCACTACACGCCCTTGTAAAAAGTCCCTCCCCAGCTTTCCTGTAGGCCCCCTTTAGGTACTGGAAGGCTGCTCTAAGATCTCCCCAGAGCCTTCTCTTCTCCAGGCTGAACAGCCTCAACTCTCTCAGCCTGTCTTCGTAGCAGAGGTGCTCCAGCCCTCGGATCATCTTTGTGGCCCTCCTCTGGACTCGCTCCAGCAGCTCCATGTCCTTCTTGTGCTGGGGACTCCAGAGCTGAACGCAGTATTCCGAGTGGGGTCTCTAATATTCCAGGTGGGGTCTCTAATATTTTGCTATTTTTGCTTTTCCTTTCTGAGGATGGATTTCAAGTTGTGAGTAATGTGAGGAAGTGTATTTTCAAACAGCAGTACTTTTAGTAGCTATGGATGATGAGATACAAGTTCTGCCTCTGAAGGCACGGTGTGATATTGGCATGACCATTTCAGTGAATACCTTCTAGCGTCTCCTCAGGGCTAGAGGAAAGGAAAGCTGTTGAATTGATAAGGCCTCTGTTTTCTGATGTATGGAAAAGTGTCTCCTCAGGGCTAGAGGAAAGCTGTTGAATTTATAAGGCCTCTGTTTTCTGATGTATGGAAAAGGACAACAAAATCTGATTGCACAGGTAGACTGACATAGGCTAATTGAATATATATCGATAGTCTAAAGTACCCCAGTCAATGGTCTGACGTGTCTTTTTATGGTATAGAGGATCTCAGAAGCCATGCTTTATATCTTAGAAAGTAAAATCCTTACAAAATTATTTTATAGTAGCATAAATCTGTTATACCATATTTCTACTGAAATATATCCAACCTTATTAATATCTTCAACACTTTAGTGATTCTGAACATACAGTACATAGAGGTTATTGTTGGAACCGAACATATCTGAGTGAAAGTACATCATATACTGCTGTGATTTCTTTGGTGGAAGACAAGTTCGTTTTCTCTTTGCTCCTTAGGCTACTGCCAGACTTAAATTAGCTTTGTTACTGTGGCTGTCCTTGCTCCATAAATGATCTTGGATGTGTTGCTTTCTGTTGCTTTTTGGCTTGTAAATGTTGTTTCATTGTATGTGGTTAACTCTGAATTTTGTTGCAAGTGATTCATGTTGGGGTTTTTTTAATGTGCAGTCACTAAGGTGGCTGCAGTGGTAGAGTAATGAAGTAAAAGATTTTACTCAGTCCGTTTTCGGCTTCTGTAGGAACATTTTTGCGCTAATACCTCTATGTTTAATATTTGAGTGAGGAAGCTGCTGTCTCACTTTAACATTTTCTTTTCTTTTCCTCTTCATGATAGATCTCTGAACAACAACTTTTTCACATAAATTGACAGAAGCGGAGAAGAGATGGCCAGTTCAGCCCGAGAACATCTGCTTTTTGTGCGACGTCGCAACCCACAGCTACGGTATACTTTGAGCCCAGAGAATCTGCAGAGTTTGACATCTCAGGGCACCATGGCTGAGAACATGAACTTACAGCGTGCCAACAGCGACACTGATTTAGTGACCTCGGATAGCAGGTCTAGTTTGACAGCCAGTATGTACGAGTACACCTTGGGGCAATCTCAGAACCTCATCATTTTCTGGGATATTAAGGAAGAAGTAGACCCGACTGACTGGATAGGACTTTACCACATAGGTAAGTCAGAACTATGTTGTAGTATTTCTGTGTGTTTCTTGCTCTTTTGCCACTTCACATTTCCTTTCCTGATATATGTTCTGGCACACTACATAATTAATCTAAAGATAAAGTTGAGATAAGACTGCAGAGAATTACCTTGGATTTCTCTTTGTTTTTCTTAGTGCAGTGAACTATGTAAAAACATGATTCCAATTAACGTAGCTCTGATTCCACAATGACCTACTAGAAGATGAAATGCATTCTTCTTAAACAACAAATGTGTATACAGTTTTCTGTTTTCGCCTTTGCTGGTGGCTGGCTTCCAGACTGGAATATTTGGAGTACTGTATTCATCATGTAACTTGACATGCTTACTGTCCAATGTTTATGCAGTTTTTTGGACAAGTAAATTCTTAACATTTATGAAAAGGTATTTCGTACAAGTCTTTGGTTTTGTAGAACTGAAATTGTATCAATTTGGAAGGAGTGAGAATTTCTGTTTATGAATAATTCTGGTAGATGGAAATCATGTGAAGAGATTCTTTTATGTGCTTTTTTTTTGTGCTTTTCATGATATTTCATAGGAGGGAGCTGGAAAGAGCTCTAGGCTGGCATACAAGGGCCTGTGGGCAGTGTGTACGTTAACAAATGACCTACCAAAAAGAGTGGATCAGTTGGTCAAAGCAGTTAATGCTGAGACCGTAGCATCAGCAGCGTATTTGGACTGGGATTTTCCATTATATTATGTTTAATCTGGTCCCTAGATCCAAACATCCCTGCTGCGTGTGTGGTTTGGAGCTGTCCAAAGGACAATCTTTATGTCCCCGCTAGGAACTGGAGCGCGGCTAGCAGGTACCTGTAGTGGCACATGGGGTTTAGTCACTCCCTCAAGGAATCCAGTTCACACGTACTAAAATTACTTTCTGAATTTAACCAGTGCTTGGTGAGTGGGACTGGTCGGTTGATCTGTTTCAAAATTGCACTGCTACTCTGAATGTAATTACTAGTGTAGAAAGGAACCGTCAATTCAACCTGCCACAAGCAGGTATAGCAGAAACTGGTGGAAACAGGTATGACCGCTGGCATTTTGCCCGTGCTGGGCCTAAGCTTAGTGCAAAGAAACCAGTCTCAGTAGGATTTCAGAGAGATATTTGCTGTGCCAGGTTTTTCCAAGATGTTCCATCTCTGCATTACTTAATGTTACATACTGTGTAGATGCTGTTTCCAGTTCTCATTCTTTTTTTGTCTGATATTTTTTTTCTAACATTACTGCAGCTCCATAAACTAGACAGTATTGACTTGTGCTGTTCCAGTGCTTACCTGTTACAAAAGCTGTATTGGAGTTGCTGCATGAACTGCAGTCTCTCTGGGAATTAACTGTGAATATGTGCTAAAGTTTAAGCCACCTAAATGAAGTGTCTCCGTAATAAACCGAAATGAACCTTCCCAACAGCATTAGCAACTGAAGTGTGATCTGTGCTGTAAAATGCTCAGACTGCTAAATGGAGCTTAAACATTCTAATTTAAATACATCGAGAGCGTCATCTGAATAAAGGTTTGATGCCCCTTCCCGTTGTTTGTTTTGTGGTTCACAGCACTTTGGGATTGGTACTCAAGATGCTAAAGTACAACATCTTTCTGCAAAATTCTCATTGGTTCTTATTGTGGGCTATAAGAGATTTTTATCTTACTTTCACAGTTAAAAATATTTCTGCCTTCTGTCTGTTGAGCCTCTAAAGTACAAAACAACGTTAAGTTACCACAGGATAAGAAGCCTCTAAGGAACAGCCGAATTTATGCCTTCTTGGGCCTAAAACCCCCATCATGCTACTGTGTAATACCAGAGTGTGTTGGGTTTCCTATTTTCTTCTTAAGTGATGAAAGATCTAGAAACTTGTTTGCATTGAGCTTTTGTCTCTACTGCCACTAGAAATCCATGAGCTCTGGAGTTTTGTTACTGATTTAAAATAGATCTGAGCAGAGTCTTTCCTGTAAGACTTGTGGTTTCATAATTCTGAATGATAGAATTGCACATTTTTTGCAACAGAGAGGTAAGGATAGATTCAGCCTGATAGATGTGCCTGTCTGTTTTAGGTTTTTTGATAAACTCTTTCAAGTATCTGGCATCTCTTAAAAATAAGAGATAATTAAAAAAATTGTAACGGTATGATCTAAAACGCTTTAATTTGCATAACTTTTATAGACGTAGCTAAGGTAAATTAAATCCCACGGGGTATAATCCAGGATTTTCAATCCTTTGTAATAATTGCCGTGAAGTACTCCCAGTTACCACTTACTCCTTTGGAAGCTAAGGACACTCACTTCTTATTTTATCAGGAGAGGGATGTTTGTGGGTGAATATATTTAAAAGCAGCATTCTCAAACATGTTATTAATATCCAGCACAGTTGCTGGAGGTTTTTTCTTTATACTGAAAAACGTTTCGCTTACAAAGTCACTCTCCTCTCACGCTGCCTGCGGGAATCGTGTGTGGTCACTAACACAAGACAGCGCTGGGGCTGTGCCAGCCCACTGCTGTACCCCCAGTGTTCCCCCACATCGTCTAGTAAAGCACCATTTTTCAAGGAGCTAGGAACAGAAAAAATCAAATATTTTGCCCTTATTTCAAAAACCACATTGCGTAACCAAAAGCGCGTTCCTGCTGCGCTTTATGTCGGTTGTACAATTAACTGTTGTGAAAGGCGGATCAATGTTTTGATGGGGGGAAAACAGTAGTTGTTAATTCTCTAAATGGAGAGAAGGTGAAATTCTAAAAATGAGCATCGTTCTGAGCTCAGGCATTAGTACAGAGAGATCTGGCAAAGGTCTGAAGCAATCCAGGTACGTTTTCACCTCAAATTAGTTTTGTAGAATACATCCATTATAAAAGGAGTTGAAAACGACATACTGGGAAACTGTCTTGCCTCTTTGTTCGTTAATTTATTCAGTTAGCACGCTCTCATTAGTTTTCTGTCCTCAGGAAGCAGTTAGTTCTGTGCTTCTGAGTGTGGTTTTACTGCATGGTTTGGACTGCAGTGGCTCACTAGGAATCCCACCAAACTTATTAGATCCCTTTCTTTTTAAGCGACTGACTGCAAACCAGTGTACATGTTCACCCAGACATTGGTTGGGGAAGTTGGTCACAAGAGTGTCAGCAATTGGAGTCACTGCCTTTACTACTAGGTGGCTTGCAGATGGTTGACTTACATTAGGGAATAGTAGATGGAGCTGTTTCTAGTGCAGTACAACTTCAGTGAAATGTTTGGCCTTCTAAATGGTTATGAAAATAGATGTTAACTTTTTAAAAAGAGAAAAGCCTCTGGGGAGAGACACAGATTCATCTTATTCTGAAGGACTGACTTTTTTTTTTTTTTTCCAGTGCATGTGAATTTTTTTCCAGACTTCTGTTTGGTTTTTCCTTTTTAAAAATAGGAAGTCATAAATGAACAAATACTTTGTAGAAAAGACTGCATATTTTATTAGAGATTAATTCACTATAATGTCCTCAGGATACTCCTCTGAAATGACTTCTGGTCTTCCATTTTCAAATGCAAGAAGCTGAACCTACCTGAAAAATTCTACATTGCTAAATTCATGCTCAGTTTTTCTAGAATGTTGTATTTAAAGGAATGTTTCTAGATACATGTGCAAGTTTGCTGGTTTTTGTACCATACTTGTATCTTTCTCTGTTTCATCACTGTGTACACCTAAAATGTGATCTGTTTTCTTGTTGAGGGACTGCTTGGTACAGAGGGTGTTTTTCTTTTCCCGTGTGTTCGTAAGGATTACGAGAAGAAAAGTGTATGTGAGGGACACAGTGTGTTCTGTGAACGCAAACATCCTTTTTCCTGACTATTTCTGCTTTTGTACTGTCTGAACTCTTTGAAGTGTCAGTAGCACTTCTTGAACAGTCTTGCCCATCAACTTTTGTTGAAGCAGCTTTCTATCTCTAGAGGTGAGATGCATGGAGAATGTAGATAACACATCTATAAAAGCACAGAAAGGTGTCCCGGGGAGACTACACGCGAGGGAGAGGTGTTATTTCTGGGTCTTAGCTGTTCTTCAGGTGAATCAGGCAGTGTTGCATGAAACTTGAAACTGTCAAATCTGAAATACATGTTTATCGTTTTTAATTCAGCTTTAAGCTTTGCCTAGAATGGGCTTCTCATTTCTTCTTCAGGATGGGTTATGAGGATTGTCACACAAAAGTGACTGTGAGACATCCCAGTTTTCTTGCCACTGTGTTATTGTGGCAACAGAGTACCAAGACTTCCTTGGTACTCACCTCCAGGGAGGTGAGAACTGTTCAAGAAGATCACCAGGTGGGCTCTCCACTGCTCTCCACTGAGGGTAGTTGAATCTTGATGAGTTTTATGGGTTGCCGTGAAATCTCATATTTAAAGAAATCAGAAAGTACAAAATGAAGAATAAGAAGTCAGGAGAGAGAAGTAAACCCTACTTTTGGTTTAAATAGATTAACTCCCATGGCCAAATTGCTCAGATTGGCATATTTTTGTCCTAATTTATGGAGTTCTATTTATGAGATGCATGCCTTTATTCTGGAGATCCTTGGCATATTTATAATGCTGGCTATCAAAGGTTATGATATTTATTTCCATCAGCTGCTTTTCACAGGCTGCCTGGCTTTTTGTTATGTGTGGATCCATAACAGCATTATAAAAGCAGATCAAAAATTGAAACAAATGAAAAAAAACTGTTGCGAAGTTATATAGGGCAATTTAGATAGGATCTAGGTTTATACTAAGCCTCCTAGCGTAATGAAGTTTGGAGCCTTTCTGTTTCAGGTCAGACGAGATTAAAAAGAAAAAAGCTTTCACATAAACCGCCTTTAATACACTTAAAATAGTGGCTTACATTAGACAGAGATTATAAAATGTTAAGACACTTTATTCCCAGAAGATTTCTCTGGTTTCCATTATAGAAAGCATACAAAGTAATAACTTTATTGAAAAGCCTGATTATTCACTTGATTTATTTTTTTTTCCTTCCTGTTTTAGC